TTGAATACCACTGGTGTAGTGTAAGTTTATCGACGTTTCGTAAGTGCTTTGCAGACTCTTTCGTAGGACGGCGTCGGAGCCCGGGAAACAGCTATCTTCATCCTCGGATCTGACGTGTGTCTTTTTTATTTCAGAACGCGTCTGCCCAGGCTGCACTTCAAGCTGCATCGGCCTTGTCCGGACAGAACGAGACCCAAGGCGGCCCCAACACCGTTTTGAGGGTCATCATAGAGCACATGGTCTACCCCGTGACCCTTGAGGTCTTATGTCAGGTTAGTGACGACTTCTCCGTTACAAACTACATCTTTGTCTTTGTTTCGCCATGTTGACAGCTGGAAGTTCTCTGACGTTGAGACTTTTACGTGTCGTGTAGAATGCATGGTTATATTAAAAATATGTACAAAGCTTTTGCTTTGGTTGAGAAAAAACAGAGGAAATAGACCACTCGAAAGACCTAGTCGTTGATGGATGTTAATGTTAGAAATGTTTTTAGGAATCTGTACGATGTTTTGGACTAGATTCGTCAGGCTGAAGATAGGGATTGTCTGAGGACTGATCTATTTATTAGTGGACTTAATGTATCTTAAATAAAATAATGTAATTGACTCGGTGACTGGTTGTAAAAGTGATGTTGGACTACAGCTGATTTTGTGACGTCGTACGGGTTGTAGGCAGAGACGTCTGGAAGTTGTTAATCGAGTCTTCGATGATGGTAATGCAGGACTCTGTACGACACGCTGCATATTTTTATATGTGGAGAATCAGACTCACAATATCGCGATTGGGGTTTCGTCTGTTTTACTGACGTTTCCGTAACGTGTTTGTTACATCCGTTGACTGGATTTCGAAGTCAGTTTACCTTTTCTCGTGTCTGATGCTTTGTGTTCATGTTTCAAAGTGATTGCTTTCGGTTAATTTCTGTTTCTGAGACGTAGCTACGTCTCATTGTGAACTAGGTTTTATGTCTGCCGAATTCGATACCTTGTTCGCGTTCGTAACGAAGTTTTTTTTGTGTCTGGGCAACGAATTTGTTCGTGAAGGTGGGATGAGAAAGTGATTGATACTTTTGACGTTTTAAAAACATAGTACAAAATGCTTGATTTTGTATGTCGGGAAATACAGTGTGTGTGTGTGTGTGTGTGTGTGTGACCGTGGATGTTTTATGTCGTGGGTATCGACCTCTCGAACAGCGATGAATCGAATCGCAATCGATTGTGCTGTCCACTAAGAAAACAAAACACTTCTCCATTACGAGGTTAAGTTGGTTAAAGCTGTTTAGGAAAGTAATTACAGTTTACTCTGAGAATTACGTGGAACGCACAAATACAAAGTTATTGGTAGTTAAAACTGAGTGTACGACGTGGAAGGAAGTACATTCTGAAAAGGCGACTCGCGCCATTTTGGGTGTTCTACCAGGAAACGTCTTTTTTTTCCGTCTTCCAAATACATGTAGATGAAGTTGTGTTGCATGCAATCTTCGTTTCGAAGTTTAAACATTCCAGATGAGGAGAAGCTGCTCTATATTTTGTTTTGAGCGAATTCCTACCTTTCTTCACCGATGGTGATTTTTTCTATTTTACATTTTCTTCCGTCTTCGTCTCGTCCCCCCCCCCTCTCTCTCTGCTTTTGTTCACAACTCGTTCTGTTTTTAAGAGTGGCCTAAATACCTCTTACCTCAAGAAAATGTACTGATGTCTGTTACTCAGATGTTATAAATAAACGTAATGTTACAGGAAAAAAATTTTATAATTATTTTGTTAACCAAGAAATTCGATTGAAATCGATGTTTCGTCATGAAAGTCTATTTTTATGTTTTCTTTTCTTTGATTTCTGTTATCTGTATTTAAAAAAAATAGTCCTCCCATAAAAGTACAAGAAAAGACTGATTTAATCTCACTGTCCTTTCCCGGGCGATCAATATTCAGCATTGAATAAGAAAACCATCTGTTAATTTTGCCTAGTTTTTTTATTTATATCGTCATAAAGACGTAAACTCTGATTAAACTTTCTTTTATCAGGTACGTCGCCAGTAAAGTTACTTGGTACGCTTTTGTTCTCATTCACGAGCGTGATTATTCTCCTTTCCTAGTTCCATCAGCGACAAGTTTCTCTTGAATCCTTGTAGGAGTCCGCGGAGTCTGGCCCCAAAAGACTCCCGAGCCCGCCACATCCCCTTAAGTTATTTCCGACGCCCTGTTGGCTGGCTGTCGTGTTGCATATGGAAATTCTCTAAGTTAAAACTAACTTTCCATCACTTTTGCCTGCTTCCTTGTCTCCTTGCTTACGTACGTGTATGCGTTACCCCAAAAAAAAAAAAAATATTCCACC